AAGGCCCACATATCCTATTTGATCCCTCAGCGATCGTTTTAACTACGGTAATGGGCTATTTGTTTTATTCGTTCTCAAGAAAAATTGCCATTGTGTGAAATTAACGCTATGGAAACAAGTTTTTAATTTTAATTTTATTATAAGTCACCACAGAGCAAATTTTTTTTACGCGTCATTTGAATTCATAATGTGGAAGAAGTGCCCATGAGTTATTGCTACTATTCCTTTTTAGATATTCTATTGGACAAGGATAACGAAAATTTATTTAAAATGATATAGTGGATTATTTTAATCCTTAAAAAGAAATTCATTAGTGAAATGGGGATGATATTAGGAATCAAAGGCCCTTCCATTTTCAGCTGGCGAAGAATTCTAAATCTATCAAATCACTTGAAAGCTAGCCAGACCAGTAATGACGAATGTCACAAATTAGACGAATAAAAAGGAAATCCACCAATAAATAAAGGAGTGCTCACTCTCGAAGAGCCATTTTCCCCAATTATCCAACATTATTTGAGTAAATTTCCAATTATTTCTAACTTTTCATTTTTATTCGCTTTCTTTTTGTTAAAAAATGATGCCATTTCAAACAAAAAAAAATTTATAAAATGAGAGATAAAGAAAATTCAGTTTTTGCGAATTATTTAAATTATTTTCTTCAGGCGACTGCTTCGAATAGATGCATTTAGATGCAAATTTCGTCTTGCTTCTTTTTATAATTTGCCTTAATCCTTCCTAGTTATTAATCATGGCGTTCTCAATTCTTTCACTGAAAGTAAAATTCAGGTAGTACCAAAGAGCTTATCTCCATCCCTAAATTATCCTCTCATAAAAAGCTATGGTTCTAATATTTCATGGAGCCAGTCAAAGTAGAATTGATGAGTGATATTAGAGTTTTTAAGAACCTAAAAAATTGTTGGTGGCAATTATTTATTTCATAAATATGCGTCAATATTACTAGTAAAAACTTAGCTTATGAATATTCTCAAGGCTAATTAATTTAAAAGAATTCATTAAGCAGGACTATTTGATCAAAAATTTCAAGAATCGATTGCTATTAATGTTATAGAAAAATTTTTTAAATCATTGCCTTTTTATTTTATTGATCTATTTTTGTTAATTTTAAATCTTATTTGTATTCCTTATTTATTTTATTTTGATTTCATGTTAATTTTAAATTTTTCACATATTTTTGGTGAGCGCTTACCTTCCTATTTAAGCCCGAGTAGGCCGCTAGAACCGCTCGAATTTTTGAAAGGATTTACTCCTACTGGGAAGTAGAACCCCAGGATTGAAACAAGGGCTTACCCATCATACTCTTTAATTTTACAGATTTGTTTCACTTCTCAATTTTATCACTCGTTCAAGTATCTTTTGACCATTTCTACTTTATGTATTTATCGATATATTTGCATTTGCTTTACATTTATATAAGAGAGTTCATTCTATAACAAATTCTCCCGACGAGAATAAATCTTAAACGAGAATAAATAAATTATAAAAAAATCCTGATAATATTGGTGATTCATTTATATTTTTATCACCAATTGAATCCTTAGTAAAGTTTTCTAACCATGCTAACTGCCAGTGAGCCTAAATTAAAAGTGCTACATATTTTATATCTCTACCAGTTTATAATAGCTTGAACAATGAAATTTAATGAAAGGTAATAGATTCATGGATGATCGATGAATTTTTATATATGATGAAAAGTTATTATCGCTAGCAGTAATGCTGGCGATTTTATGAATCTTACTCGCCAAATTTCCTGAAAATTTTTCAAAATTCAGATAAATTTCTTGTAGATGCACGAAAACGAGTAAAAAAAAAATTATAGAAGTATAAGTATTTTGATATATTGATGATAATGAGAACTGATCAGTCATATCATCAAATGCAACAGATAAATAGTTAATATGCACTGAAGAAAATGAAGCAATTTTAAAACTATCTGCCAGACAATGCTCTGTCTCTGGCAAAATTTGTCTGGTGAGCGATGAGCCAACGAAGTGGAGTTCTGGGCACCGTTAGAAAAAAAAAGGCTGATATTCAGCGCACAAATGGAATAGTTGAGATATAATAGAAAGATATTTTGAGTAAGGTTAAGCTGATCCTTGTCTTTGTCCTCTGATGGAAGTAAACCAGCCATTAAAAATAAAATTCAAGCGACACTTATGATATGTATTTCTATCCACAAGTTTCTCTGAAGTAGTCATTTGAATAGAGAGTGGTGCTAGCCAAACCAGAAATAATCGACAACTAAGTGGATTAATTTTTGTACTTGAAAATAGTTTCTTAATAACTCGTTTTTTTGCGATGAACTCCATATAATTTTATAAATTTTAACTTTCAAATGATCTAAAATTCAGAGGAAGAAATCTCTTAAGATTTTACAGTTTATCCAATTTCTTTCTCTACTCATTTCTGGTTAATTGTGAATGGTTATGTATATAAAAGACTGCAATCACTAAAAATTTTTATAAATCGTCCCTTCCATCCACTTGAAGTCCTTAAATATCTTAGTAAACCACCCTCTAAGGGATACTAACAGCTGTCATTTAAATAGATCATTAAATTTCACCCAAAAATTCGATCATTTTGCTAACGAAAACTGATTGAATTGTCCATTTGAGATTAAAAATAGACAATTACACAGCTGCTACCCATCATTAAATCATATAAAGAGCTTTATGTAAATGCCTAAAACAAATTTCTCGAAATCTTTCTCGGACCTACCGTAAACAAACGGAGATTAAGATTCGTCAACCCATCATAAATTCGTATCCAATGACATGAGTAAAGCTGTCGTCAAAAGTGAAATTGAGGTAATGGTTGCCTTTATTTCTAATCCAATTGATTTTCCGTGAAAGGTTTTTGCCCTGATGGTCAACCATGTCAACCAGCCATTAACTCGAGAAATGGTTAATTCTATTGGCAAACGCAAAAAATAATTGAACAATTACAGAATAAATATTAAGTAAATATTAAGTGAAATACTGCATTTGGTCTGATAACGTTGTTAACATCTATTGGCTTCACAATTCTTTTTTCCTTTATACTATAGCAGTATTTGCAGATGTCCTAAGCATATTGGTTATTTTCCCACTCAATGATAAAAGAATTGCGCCAAAAAACTGAGTTTTTTGAGATATTTCAAGAATGAAGTGTTGGTAAAAAGATACTCAGCAACATTTATGATCGCATTGGCAAACTGTACAATTATATCTAAGAAATTTCTAGAAGTTCTCATCTATTATAAGTGTGTAATAAAAATGAAAAATAATAGGTGTAAAATAAAAATAAGTGCTTTCCATTTCTAGTTATGCTAGCTTCTCTGGGTGTTAGTATATTTTGATAGAGGTAAAGGTAACACCGCTCAGATTTTTTGATGATAGAATTGCTCTAATCACAGGTAAGAGCCTTACATTTGCTCTTCAACGCGATAATTTCCTATGCATTTAATAGCCCACTGAGGGATTATTACCAATTATTGCCAATGAAGTTCTATTACCAATGAAATGGCGACGAAAAAAGTTTAAAAATCGGTTGTGATCTGCACGAATTACGCTAGAGAATGAACTCTTTTTTGAAATTTGTATAAATTTGAATAATAAAAATGGTTTCTAAATACCATACTCAGATGTTCTTTTTTAGTAACAATTCTGGTTTAATTGGATCCCATAGCTGCTAGAAAGTGAGATTTTCGCCAATGAGCTACATGGGATAGAGTGCAAGTTGTTAGTCACCACTATTGATATTCAACTAGTATAATAGCAGTTATAATTATTAATAAATGATGGCATAAGAAAATATTTCAAGGGAAAGCCGTTTTTTTAACTATAAAATCAATGCAATTAATAACATTAACAATTGATACAACCAACCTTTTATTATGAATGAATTTAGCGATTTATTTTATTTCGCTTCCCATGTACCCATCATACTTGCCAATTTTATCCGCAGATTTCCATGGTATTTTATCGACAATTACTTTATGGGTTAAAAAGCAAAGTTGAAGTTTAAATTTATTCACAATTGTCGTTATTCAATATTCAACCTTCGAAAAAAAGCGAAAAATTCAAATTCTTAAAGAACGAACTAATTATTAAAAAAGATTAATATTTTATTAATGAGAAAATTGCTCATGAAAAATTATCGGAATATTTCTATTGTGGCATCACCTTAACAGCACTTGAACACTTACGAATAAAACATATAATTTCGAATATAAAGAATAAATAACCGTCTTTATGATAAACTTTGGCAAATAAAAAAATTTTTTTGGTAAATAGATTCTAAAATTTATATACAAAAAATTTTTTTTTCTGTGATTTATAGCCAGATAAAGGAATAATCTACGTGTCGTTTCATGCCGAATGGTTGAACGGATAGATTACATATTACTATCATTAGAAAAAAGGCTGAAGTTCTCAGTGTGAAGATATCCAACTAAGATTAACCATATTTGATTTGGTCATATTGCTCTAAAAAATGGCTTATTCAAATTCAAAATGAATGCTATAAATAACACAGAAAAAATTAAATGCATTCGAATAAGTAATTCGAATATTTCACCGGCCTAATAGGGGTAAATAAAAAGAAATTTAACAAATCCATTAAGATAAAAAAATGATCAATTATTGCACAAGTAATCTTTCGAAATAATTTGAGCTGAAGCAAAACTGCTCGTAGCAACTATACTTATTAACAAATTAATATTTATTTTCAATGAAATGTGATATTTGATACTTATCAATTCATTCACTGAATTACTGTTCATAATTTGATATGTACTAACCAAGAAAAACACTTGTTTTTTGCGTGCCCTCTTGGTTATTATTCCTAAATATATTCAATAATTTGCATTCACGGTGTTGATGTTGATATCCTTGATTTATGCCCCTTTCTGTCTCTAGGAAAAGCGAAAACTAGTATTTACGCAGATTAACTCAATTCGAAAGTTAGAAAGACGTAATATAATTTATAATCAAATAAGATAATTAGGATCTTAACTGATGAGGCCATATAAATGGTTTTATTAAATTATCAGTCTGACTTCCAAGCATATCCCGCAAAAGAAAATCTATAGGTGTCTTGCCGATTAGCTTTACAAAAAATAATTGCTCAATAATATTTGGGCTGATTGATCTCAACGTTGGTAATCGTAATAAAAGTCGTCCGAAGCGACCAATCTGAAGTAGGCCAATATTTAACGTGCAATTTTGCTAAAAGGCTTTTTTTTTATAAAAGATAAGCTAATAAAAGTAAATGAAGATGATGAAGGACCTGGTGAGGCCTTTGCGTTCGACAATATTCTTCTAAAGCTGATTGAATTTTTTCTTGAATATTCTCAACACGTATTACATCATTAAGACCACAACAGTCTGCAACGAAATCAACTATTTAAATGCTTAAATGAACGAAAAAGTTAACGTATAAGGGTGAAAATGGGTGAAAAAATTGGAGGAAGAGATGGGGCCTACGTTAAAATTTCCATATTCATTGAGATGTAGACTGCAGAACAATAAAGTGATTAATGATAAAATGATTAAAAAAAACTCATAAGACCAGAAACGGTACCACTGAACGGTATCATTCCTAATTTTAACCGAATGAGTTCGATTCTATAACAGGAATAAGAAATGAAATCTGAGCTGTGCTAAAAGCGTCTATGCGTCTATCTTCTAGAAACTCCCAGAATGGCGAATATTATCCGAAGAATTAAATAATAAAAATAATTAATAATATGATCTATAAAAAAATTCGGATTAATAAGTGGATAATAAAATTAGGTAAATAAATTTGTGCAAAGTTGCTAGTAATAATAATAATAACAATAATGATAATAAAAATAATAAACAATAATAACAATAATAATAAATGATAATAGTAATAAATAATGGCAATAATAATAAATAAATAACTGGAGAATCCCTGAGTAAGTGAGAAAGTGAGGAAAAGAGAAGCGATAATTTTCTGCTAAGCATACGTTATGGGAAAAAAGCTTTAACCCAATGAAAACCACAAACATAAATTTTAATTGAAGAATTGCTTTTTTGTTCGATAGCAATCTTTTTCCTCTCCACCTAAAAACGATAAAAAATTATCATTATCTTCTTTACCAGAAACAACTGTTTTCTTCGATCAATTATTTATTTACATTCCTCAAAACACTTCTTTCTTTCCTTTAAATTATCGTTGAATAAAACAACAAAGCCTCTCAGTCTGTCAAATCATAGGAACAACCCCAATGCACATGTTACTGCACTAACAAAATCAATCAAAGTATAAGTTGAGATCATAGTTCCCAATTATAAAAAGCATAAAAGTACTTAGACCATACTTTTTAGCAGAAAAATAGAATTTGAATTTGTTCTTAACTTGATTTGAATTTGTTCTTAACTCATCTTTCTATTGTAAGCATACAGTTAATTCATAACTGAGCTCCATAAACTGCTTGCTGGTTTTTATGGTATTATTATTCGTATTATTATTAAAATTATTCATATTGTTGTTATCTTATTATTGATATCTGAGGCAAAGGAAAATTAATTCGATAATCACAACAGATTCGATTCCAGCCACTGGAACTTATGATTAAATCTGGACATGCAGCCCATCCACTTGTATTTCCCGAAGTAATTTTTTCACATTATTAAAATTAACCAAATCATATATGGTAAATTTTAAATTGATCGTTCAGGAAGAAAGAATGGATTTTGGGATTTGAAATCGTCTTCTCTTTACCTATTTACCTAGTGGACCTATTCAAATAGAAGAATAAGAGGAGATACTTTTCTCATTCTCTTTTTATTAGAAATTAAACAACTGTTCAATTAATAATTGTTATACGATGCTCTTTTTTTTTGCTTTGTATGCGACAAATAGTTGTTCAATTGTTTTTGACAAAAAAGTATTTTTACATTATGTATATATATATTTTTGCTTGGTTAATAAATTTTAGTAGATCAGTGGTACTTTCAAATGACTAAGAAAAAATTCAAATGACAAAGAAAAGAAAAAAAGAAAAGTTCAAGAAGAGGCGCAATCAATTTTTACTGGCAAGATGTGCTTCAGACTGGTCGAATTTTCTCGTTATTTTTCATCAATACTCTTGTCTTAAATCGCATGAAATAGTTATATACCTATTTTCCTACATTTTTAAAGGGCTGCTCTAATTAACTTCCTATCAGATATTTCGCTGAAAACAATATTTTTTTGATCTAAAGATGATAAAGAAGCAAAATTAGCAAAATGAGGCAAATTATATTGGAACGATAATAAATTGACTGGTCGAAAGATGTGGCAGTGGAATTTCCTGACGAAAATTTCTCATCCAGTCATAACCAGAAACCATTGGAAAAAGAATCAGAAATTAGTTAGGAATCGACTTAATAGCAAAATTAATAGAAATAATCAAAAAACTGAAAGAAAAACGAAGCTTAAACATTGACTAGATTGGCAAGATTATATGAACTTTTCTTTATATTTCAGAACAAAATAAATTCGATAAACGTCTAACCTGCACTAAATAAAATAATCGCTTTGAGACTACTAAATTCTGCTGGATCCATATGCAATATTTTCAAACGTTCAACCTGACCCTAAAGACAAAGGGAATATAAATTAGATTAGAACAATTATTCGGATAATTGTGTATAAATTGTTCAAATTATAATATTAAATTTTATAAATTATTAATATGTCGGAATTATGGTACTCTTTCCTTTCGTCTTTATCCTCATTCTATGCGCATCGGATTTTACGTATAAATTATATCTAATGATTATAAGATATTAATTCAAGTGGCCATGAAGGAAATAAGGAATGCATACTTTTTACTTTTCACCTATTGCGATTGTTGAAAAAAAGCACCTGAAAAACACGTATACGATCCATAAAAACTATCAAATGATCTGGTGGTAGTGGGGATGCTGAATGGATTCCGGATGCTGCAAGAAGAGGAGCGACATGAGCTGGCATACCGAATTGTGCGGCATTTATAACAAATAATTCAGCCCAGCTTGCTCGAAATAACGTCAACTATAATGTAGACAATGGAGATAATTTTGTTATAAGCTGATTTTGGCTGTTTAATTATCCGTGAGAAAGATAAAAACTTATTCGGATGCCAGTTGCACAAAATTCTTATTCATATCACTACCCATTTCGACATTACAATTTAAATTCATAATAAATATCTCATTTTTTCTAATCATATCTATTCGGGATCATATCATATCGTATCTATCATATCTTATATTTAAAAAGTAAAAATATGAAAAAATTCATTCAGGAAGTTGAAGCTGAAATATTACCTGATCTTTTTCGCATAATTCATTGAAAAATGAGACATTTTTAGCCCATTCGATAGCATGAAATAAGAATTTTGCCCCAAATTCGTATACTGTATCGATCGAAATCGCTGACGTAGAGCCTTCAAGCATTTTTCCAGAATTTTTAAGTTTTTTTTCCATTTTATTGAGAATGAAACAAAAAAGCAATTTTGGATTGTAATGTTAGAAAAATCTTATAACAAGCATACAAATGATTGGTGCATAAGGTTCAGCTCGAACAAGATGAGCAATAATAGAGGAATAATGAACTGAAGTAATCTGATTCACTGTTAATAAATTATCACCATATATGAGCGTTGATGGATAGGGACTCTGTGAGGTATTCGGTGGTAATCGCCCTCGTTGAACAGCTAAAAGAACAAAATCATTTTTTCTTTGAGAAAATTGAATTTTCTTTGGAAAAGTCGAACGAATCTCATAAAAAATTATTTTCAATTTTTAAACAGTGAATTGATTTTTGGCGTTGTTGGAATCTTTGAAATTGTTCATTCATCCTTTGTTCTCCACTGAAAACTCCTTTTGGATAGAAATCGATTGATATGTTGCTTGATCCACAAGTTCGTGGATCATGTACTTAATTTCTGCTCCTTCATAAGGTTAGGCTTTATCATTAAAAGTAGTACCCAAATGATACTATTGATGCATCTACGATAATGTTGAAGCTATCACAAAAATCTTATTTCACTTTATAATCAAATTTTAAATCGAAAAATTTATATATCAAGGTTAAGAATAAATTAAAATTTCAAACTAAGTTATTTATATTTATCACTATTATTTGAAGATTTAGTGCATAAGATCGCAGATTAGATGTAGACCCATCTGAAATTTGTAGTATTTCCAGCAATTACTGTTTTTCTTTTCATTCGCATCTTATCGCATCCAACTGCATTATCTCTAATAAATAACTGCCGATAAATTTGAAATGCCAGATTTGAGGAAAAGATGACATAAGGAATAGGTAATGTCAGTCTAAATCTTCAGAAAACGATCAAATTCCTCTTACCTTCTTTTCTCATACCCATTTTTTCACATTTTTTTAGTCGGCAATATTGACATTGATTGCGATGATTAACATCAACCGGACAGTTTTTTGTACCTCGACACGTATAATTCAGGCTCCGCCGAATCGACCTACAAGTAAATTCATAAATTTGTTGATTTAGTAGTAAGGAAAACTTATGCATGCGATGGTAAAAAACTTAATGAGTGCTACTTAATGAGCTTGTAGCGTTTTTCCATTCAAAAATTTTTCTTTATATCAAACAAATATTTTCAAATATACAAATATTTCTCAATCTCGGATACATTCTAGAATCAAGAGGACTGTAAGGAAAGAAATAGAAATTTGAATTAGGCGTTATATCGAACATAATGGTTCGGCTACTTTTTGAAGGAGTAAAATTTCTCATTATAAGTCAGTGTTTTAGCAGAGAATTATTAATAATTGGACCATAGAAATAATTTATCATAATTTGTTTAAAAAAATCAACCGATATTTAATTGAAAGTATTCGTAGAAAATACAATGGTGTATCAATGGCTTAGTGGCAAAATGGTTTTCAGAGAACGTCAGGTCAGCGCCTCATGCGTTTTGTCGGTCGGTAATATCACCGACGAATGGCGAAAGTGCGTATGGAGCGCCGATGCTCAGCGGTAAAATTAAACTTGTCCATCAAAAATCCAGGTAGCGCTGGACTCATCTGTACTTCTATACCAAGCGATCTCTGGTAATTTGTCCAGCCCGACAAGCCAGTGGAGTGAGTCTAATTAGCAATGATAAGCGCTCTTAGATGATGAAAATTTTCTTCAGTTGCAGGCAGTGATCAAGTATTTAAATTTCGCAATGTTTTTAACAGTTTTTTCCATTAGGAATGCGAATAAAAATAAAATATGTGTTGGTGTTTTAAAAGATTTGAGATTTCGGATCAAACATATGCAAGGAACCTCTTGAAAAATGATTTGCAGCCTTCGCAAGAGAACTGCCCATAATGTTTCCCGCTTGACTTATCGCCACATACAACGCATTCAGTACCAACCAATAATTTATCCGTTTCAGATGATTCATTTTTTTGAGTACCATTAATGCCACCAGAATCTGAACTGCTGGCGCCTGACGGTGACGATGCTGACTCCTGAATTCGGTCCATGCCAGCACATCAAAAATATTTCATTACAATGCAAAATAAGGACCAAAATACAATTAAAAGGCTCTGGATTTCTATTCGATCAGATGACTTTTCATTTTTTTCAGGACTCTTTAATCCTTCAAAGATCTATGATTTGAGATTTTTTTGCCATCTTTTTGAAGTCAATAAAATCCTCCGGTGCACTAAACGAGTTTATATCTTTATAATTAAAAATTTTCTAAAATTTAAAAAAGCAGGAATTGAAGAATTAAAGTTATCAAATTTGTCGTTGCTTTAATCAAATTCACTCAAAAAATTACTTTTATATTTCTTTTATTTTTAATTACTGCTATAAAAAATTTTTTCTAAAAGTCGAGGTGTTACCAACTGTATTTTAGTTGTCAGTGAATCGATTGTAAAGAGAATATGATAGACCTAAGCTAATAAAATTTTTTTACATCCTGGCGAAGATATTTTAATTCAGCATGTTTAGAAAAGAGAAAAATTATGAATACATTGGTATTTTTTTGAAGAGCGCACACCATTTCTGGTTAGGCTCGTAGCTTGTCGGGCTAAACTTTGCCAGGGAGGATATCTGATTGATTGTAGTTCCGGTTACCATCTCGAGCGCCAAGATACTGGTCCAGTCATTAAAAAATACAGATGGATTAAAAAAATCATGATGGAGCGTTCCCTTGGTGAAAATTTCTAACAACCAGCGAAGGAAATTTAACCAGAAATGATGGTCGCCAACCACAGATGAAAAATAAACATATTTGGGAGGAAGGGAAAGGAATTATGAAAAATAGAAAAGATTTACCTGATTAGTATTATTTTCCTTAATCGAATTATTCGAAGTAATCCATGGCGATGAATGTACAGTAGGAATTGAATTATCACGAGGTAGAATATGCATTTCTCGATTCCATTTTTCATTTTTCATTACTTTTTCTCTTTCTTATTAATAAAATAAATGATCCAATAAATAAGGGATAGTAAAAGAATAAGTTTATTTTTTAAGTTCAAAAATTTACTGCCAAGTAATCGCAGTTGAATTGTCGCATAGGAACGAGGATTCGTGCTGGTTGGTTTATCGACAAAAATATTCAGCTTTTTAATCTTTGGCCTTTATCCAATAGGCATTTTTCATTCGAAAGGGCGGTGCAAACGTTGCCAATTTAACCAATAAGAAGTGAGCAAAATGGCTAGCTAAAATTTATTGATCGCTTTATTTTTACAGTAATTGGCTGAATTTCGAATTATTTTATCTAAAGCGACAGCAATTTAAAAACAATACAAAAGTTCGATTTATTTCTTTTGACGAGCATTAACCTGTCATTATAGTATCGAAAATCAGGTGATGGTAATTTACTCGTGTCCCTATCTTCAATTGACCTTGACAAGAATCTCGTAAAACTAAAAAATAACTAGACGCTAGTTACTCGTGCAACCACAAACCAAGAATAGGTTAATGAGCTAATTATTACGTTTAATATGTTTCAGAAAATTTAAAGAAAAAACCACATGGTTCCACAGTAAATTTTAGTATGGAATACAAAAAAATCTTCTATCCAATCTTCTATCCAATGCTTGAAAAGTTCTATAGAAAGTTGGCTTAAGTTGGTTCACTTAAAGAATGATTGATTATCGTTTTCTTTTTCTTAGCTTTTTTTCTTTTATTTTGAACTAATTTGTTGTTTTTTCTACGAGAAAAAAAAGTGGTGTAATCGAGGAAAGCAAAGAAAAGGTCAAGAACCTCGACTTCATAGTTCCAGCTATGAAGTATTTGAACTTAAGTATTAAGTATTTGAACTTTGTTATTCGATGCCAAATAATACACTAAACAGCTGTGAAACTGATCATAGGTAAAAAAGCTTTCGATAACTTTCGCTTTTCGCTATCGTGTTTATTGTTACTTGTGGTGGAAAGAAGTTAATTACATACGGTAATGAATAGTGGAGCAAAGGCATTGGAATTTTTATTGACCCTTTCCACATCATAATCCTTAACAATTTAGAAGAATTATCACGAGTTAAAAGATATTTTATAACAGTGCAAATGAATATTCAAGATGATATCAATTCAGCAGCCGATAAATGTTCTACCTTACAGTTTCTCGCAGATAATGATTTGTACCTATACTTTAATATTTTAAGTTCTTAGCATTCGTAAATTTTTGAGAAAAATTATGAAAATCAGGCTATGTTAATAACTTTTTAATTTTCACAATTTTTGGCTTGATTTGCTAAAACTTTTTAAAACTTTTTAGTTAGAGAGCCACCTAGGATAGGGGATAGGATATTAATTTTTAAAAATATCTAAATTTAAAACCATTTTTCTTTGAATTGAATCACTCTTTTTTAAAAATAATGATAGTTTTAAATAAAAAGTATAGATAATGCTGGAAATTGGAACTGCTACCAGAAGAAAAAAAAAAGAAATTATCTAATTGACGAATTTGACTTAAATTGGTTCACCAACGCAGTGACTTTTCAATGAATTTGTTTCTATTGTTTCTTCGAAGTTAGTGATTTATTTTTTAGCATAACGGAGCTCTTTTTCATTACCAATATAAATACTACAAATTCCTATTTGTTAATTTCTATTTCTTAATCTAAACTATACAAATAGTCAATCAAAAATAAACTTGAATATTTAATATTTAAAACCAACGATAGACGAACAATTGAAATGGAGATGAAGACAGCTATGTTCATATTTTTTATCTGCGATTTGAAATTTTGTTGAGCAAATTGAAGAGCACGATGCAAATTGAAGGAAAACGATAAACAACTATATAAATTAATTACATTATATCATTAATAATTTTGTTGGGATTTAATCAAAGAACATGAAAATACCGTACTCCTTAGGGTTTTCGGCCAACAAAAAAGTTTTTTTTCGTAAAATAGCCAAATTTATTGGTATTGTTTGCAATAACCTATAATTCAATTCCTATCGAAGTACTCAATTTTCTGCTACAAACCTCCAAATGTCTCAAGATGTTTATATATTTTTTTATTATTCATAATATTTTATGTTAAAGCAAGATAATCGAGTTGCTTAGATTGTACTCAGAAGTCTATCCTTGAATTTATCCGGATATAAAAATATTATTGATATAGCGACATTTTTAACATTTTCCATATGCACGATAAATGAACATATTTTAAAAAAGAAACTAAACCACATTTAAGCATTTCATTGGTATATTTAGTTCAAGATTGACAGAAAGATTTGCCCCTTTGAATTCTTACGAATATTTTAAATTTTGTAATTTTCTGATAGGACGATAACCTTTGACCTATTAAAAGCAATCAAAGTGGTAAAAATGACAAATTATCCCTAATTTTGGTACATCAGAGAAGTCATTTCAGAAAACAAATGGAAAGAGATTCTCATCTGCCGATTTATAACATATAATAACAAAATTTTCAGCTTTATACGAGTGAAAGGATTGTTTATATCGCTGGAACATAGCAAAGAATTCTCGTTCTGTTTTTATTTTGTTTAAAATTTGGCAAAATCTCTAAAAAAACCAGACTTCAAAAAATTAAAAACAATTCAGAAAATTATAGATTTTCATTGACTTTTATTTTTTGCTTCGCTATTAACCTAAGCAGTCGAAAATTGGCACATATTTCTCCCCACAGTTTTTTTGTCTCAGATTTATTTGGATAAGAATAAATTTCCAAAAATAAAAGAAGTCATATATATATATATATTTATTTATATTATTGCGTTTCTATTATTTTTATTTGCATTATTATATTGAGGAGAGAATAGCCGAGTAGTTGTTAGTTAGATTGTCATATCAAGCATCGAGATTTTGACTTTCTCGAGTAGTAATAAACATTAGAAAATCCATTTGCTTCTAAGACTTATATCTCTAACTGATATATCCTGGAAACAATTACTTCATCTTACTAATAGCCAACAAATTAAACCTATCTAGAAAATAGCGCTAATCATTTGCTTATTTATAATATTATTTTATATCTATATTCTATTTTATTATATATATTATTTACTTTAAAAAATATTATTTCCTGGATATTTTTTAAAATCGATTTAATGATTATCTTAAATCAGCAGTACAATGAATCTTTTTTGAGATTGAGAGCTGACTTATTTCGTTTAAGATTATTTCATACGCAAATAAATTTTATATGGAAATATAGATGGTAATGAAATCATTCATAGCCTAGCAAGAGGGAAAAAAATTTTATATCGTAATAAATTTTTCTTCACTAAACATCAAAATCTTTATCACTGACACCTAATCTTTTATCATATTACCTTAGTAAATCTTTTTCAGCATTTGAATGAACAAAAAAATGAAAAAGCTTCAAAAACAGTTTCAAAGCAAAAAAGCATTAAATGAACAAGAAATTTTTCATCGACGCTTCATTATTTCCAGAATAGTGGGAAGATAGGCTTAGCAATTGAATCGGATTTAGATATCCGAAAAAGGATTAATCACCTAGTGAATGTGAAATTTTGACTTTAATATATAACAATTTTTTAAACTTTTAAACTTTTGGTTCCACTTTTTGGAGCTCAGCTTCAAAATTCTGTTTTAAAATCTGAAGAGCATAAGAATTAAAGAGTATAAAAAAGAATATGCGAGAATTGATGGATAAGTTAAGGTAAATTGCAATTCAACTATTTGAGATTTATTTGCTCAACCATTCTTGTTCCTATAGCAGGAATAAACTTACCATTGAAAAACCATTAAAAAATCCGAATAATCCGTATGAACACACGTATGTCAATCTTAAATAAGCAATATGTAGCAATAATCAATATGGGCTATAACATAAATTTAGATGTAGAATGTAATAACAAATGATAAATTATAAATAAGATAAAAGGTCTTTTATTACGATCACCTAATAAGTAAGGCTGATAACAAAAAAGCATCAAATACATCAAAATATATCAAAAAATAGATACATAAAAAATGGCGGAAAATAATGATGACGATTAAACTTGCAAGAAATATATTATTAAAAATGACT